ATTGTTTGGACAATTAAATGTTGTATCTTGTACTCTGAGTAACTAATTTGAAAATAATAATATGCAGTGTATTAACCATTGTTACCCTAATATTACCTTGTTTTGAAAATTTGTTTTACTTTTTAAAATAATAATAAAAAAAGAAGGAAGTTGTTTCACAGAACTAGAAACTCTCCCTGGCCTTTCACTGGATTCATTAATTAAGCAGAATCATTTTATGTGCTTATGTGAATGGATTTCTAGGAACTGTCTATGCAGAATTTATAGAAAAGTAATTACAAAAAGACAATTATTAAGAGGGTTAGCTATATTATTTGAATTATAAAGGCTACCGTTAAATTCATTTGTTATCGTTCCTATTTTTAAAAAGTATTTTGTAGGAATTAGTAGGACATGGTCTAGAAGGCCTGGTTTAAATTATAGGTCTCAAAAAATTTCCAGTGGGCTTTGTATAACTAACTAAGAGTCACACTATTTTAATGCAGAACCAGTGGATAATTTAGCACTTTTGTGTTCAGTTACTCCAAATAGCTTAGCAAACATTTATGCAACAAGATATTGGACTGGGCATTAATAGAGATGTTTAAGAAGAATAAGAGCATTGGCCCTCCCATTAGCAGGAAGTTAAGACAAAGGAAATTCCACACTTGCCAGTTGCAATTATTAACATTGCTCAGAACTAACTGGATGGAATATTGATATTTTGCTACAGTAACATGGACATCTGCTGGCATTGTTCCCTGTTCTCAATTCTTTATTCCCTTCCCCACTTCAAAAGATTTCTACAGCATTTTAGGTTTTCACTGTCTCCTGCTAGATTAGATTCTTGCCCCGTTGATGTTGGACTTTGCCCTGTGATCGCTCTGGCTAACTGAATGTTTAGTGGACATGACACACAAAGGCTTTAAATGTGTTTGTGTAGTGTTAGTGAGCCTTTTGTACTGTCACAGTCCCTCAAGAAAAGAACACTGCAGTAAACTGCCAGGAAAGGATCAGAAATATGTGAAATAGAGCTGTCTTAGTTACGTTCTCATTGCTGATACACAATACCCAATACCAACAATTGTACGGAGGAAAGGGTTATTTTGACTCACAGTTTGTAGAGGTTTCAGTTCATAGCTGGGTGGATCCAAGGCAGGATAGCATGGCAGAGGGTGTGGCAGAAGAGAAAGAGCTCATGGTATAGTGGAGGGAAAGGGAGAGAGATCAAGGGAGGAGGGAGGAAGACAGACCCTTCCAGGCCACACTGGCAGTGACCCACTTCCTCTGACTAGGCTTCATCTCCAAGCATCCCATTTAGTTATAAACTCATTAGTGAACTAATCCACTGGTGCATATCATTCCCCCATGATCCAGTCACCTTCCAAAAGCCCTACCTGTGAGCGCTTGAGGCCTTTGGTGGGGGGCTGAGACTGTATAAGCCATAACAAGAGTTGAACACAAGCAGATGCTCAGGGCCAAACCCAGCAAAAACCAGCCAAGCTACAGTTGACTTGCAGACTTATGAGCAAGAAATCAATTATCATGCCACATTTAACTGCAATTGTTTCCCCAGCCAGTGCCATCTGGGTTATGTTCTATAGTACTGAAGCTTTAGAATTTCATTAGTCTTTATTTTCTGTCATTGATCCAGAACTATACAATGAAAGAAATTTCATTTTTGCCTGCAGACTTTCCCTAAATCCATCTTTATGTGAAAACGTTTATCCAGAATGTGACCATTATGTATATCTAAGATGTACCAATAAAATCTGATTTAAAAAGTAATGGTTATCCAGGTGAAAATTTTGATTAGCCTTAATAACTGCAGTAAGCAGTGGGTCTCCTCACACTTCAAAGTCAGGTTCTTTACTAGGCTGTCACATCGGAATGGCACATGGAGCCTCTTAAAAATGCACCTTTCTGGATGCATCTCCAGAGGTCATGGTTCAGTAATGCCCCAGCCTAATTCCTATGAGTCCTATCTTAATAACATCATAGTTACAACTCAGGTCTCCTCTATTTTAATAAAATCCACTTGGAATTTAATTAGGTCCAATTCAGAGAAAGATTTGTAGGCATTGTTTGAAGGGGATATGCATATTCACTTTTCCATGTGGTCCAAGTTTCAGCCATGTGTCAAATTATACCAGCAGGGAGGCATTTTTCAAGATGTGTTTTTCTTATTTCTCCTTCAAAATGCTTTTTTGGTAGTAGTTGCATTTTGGATTATTTTATAAGACTCATTACCCCATTGGTCTTGCTACATATTACCTACTGCATCTTTCTCTCTTTTTCATACTGTCCATGTGCAAGGCTTTTAGGGAAACATTTCATACCTTCCTAAGGGAGAGACATCAGATATAAAGAAATCAAAATCATTACTGTAAAACAGGTTTGTCTTTTAAAAATCATTTGCTTAAATGTTATTCTCTATGTTCAAAACTTCCATGAAACACACAAACATAAATGTACATACACAATTTTACTTTACTAATGTTTTTTATTTTTAAACTATGTTTTTAAGATTTAAATAAGGTATGGTCTACAGTAAATTTAGAAAATGTGGAAAAAAGTATTGGGAAAAGACCCATTATCTCCAAACTAAAGATTTAACATTTGGTATATTTCTTTCTAGTCCCTTTCTCTCTGTCTTCCTTTCTTTTTATATATAAGAAAGGTAATTACTATATTATCATATATATGCAATATATGTGTGTTTATAGAATATGTAATTATACATGTAATGTGTATAATGAAGCTAATTTTAAAAACTGGGCTCATACTTGCTCACTACTTTGGATCCTGCCCTTTCCACATGATATAGCATGTTATTTTAATGAAGGTGTTATGGGCCATTGCATGAAGGTAACATTTTTTTAACCCTTGCATTATTGTTTGATATTTAGGCTGTTTTCAGTAATTCATCCTGATAAACCATTTTTATAATGGACATCTATATGTATAAATCTTTGTGCTTATGAGAGATTATTTCTCTAAGACAAAATTACAAGAATTTATATTTTTTAAAAGTGTACATTCAGATTTTTAGCTATATTGAGCAAGCTGGAAGAAGCTTTCTTCAACTGTCTTTCAATCTGGCCATCACTTTCTTATAAAATCTTACTGATTGAGCACACAGGCACTGAATTTTGTGACAGAACCAATGAGTTGACAAAGGTTTAATGAGCCCGTGCATTTGAGGAAAACTTGAATGATAAAGTATTTCATCTTTCATATTGATTGTGCTCTTGTTATATGGGAAAACCTAACAGCTTTGCTTTCTATTACACTGGTTTCAAAAAAAATAAACAGTGAAATTTAAGAAATGTTTCTAACATGTTTAGATATTGGTTGCAAATGTGAAATTTAAATTTTTATGTGATTTGGAGTAATTGAAATTTCAACACCTATTTTGACTAACATTATCTTACATGAAGTTTTATCCTGTGTATATGCCTTGAGCTTCACAAATGTTTTCTTATTGTCCTTACCTTCAGGGTTCTTTAGATTGGCTTTACCATTCTATTTTGTTTTTTTTTTTTTTTGGTTTTTCTCCGGTACCGGGAACCGAACTCACGACCTTGCGCATGCCAGGCAGGCGCTTTTGCCGCTGAGCTAAATCCCCAGCCCCGATTGGCTTTACCATTCTAAATCTATAAGAAGATTCTAGGGACTTTGGGGTGCTTGTTAGAGCCTATTGAGTCAAAGTAGGAGGTAAATAAATTATACTACAGCCATCTAATAGCATAGGTCATCATTAAAAGTCATCTTTCCAAATACCATTTACTAACATGGATATGGCTCATGCTCCCACTTCTTAGGTCTTTAGGAAAGCCAAACCTCCAAGCCTCCTTTTAAATTATACTGGGACCATGTGACAGGATTATGGTCAAAGGTGTGTAGGTAGGAAAAATATTGCCCTTAGCCTAAAGAAGAGAATTTGCTACCTGACTTTGAATCTGAGGCTCTGTATTACACACAGACACACACAGATGCACACAGACAAGCACATGCACATGTGTGCTCACATACACACACACACACACACAAATGTATTAAAGGTTATGTAGGTTGCTTGGTCTCTTGGGTACTGATGCTTAGAGTTGGGCCAACACTTTTTACAATAATAAACATTTATTCTTATGACCAACACTATTCAGGCTTCAGAGTAACACCTCTTGCACTCAAAAGATGGCTGTGTTCAAAGGTTCAATCCCCAGTACTGCCAAAAAAGTGTAGCTTATGACATCGCTAATGCTGGAGAAAAACACAACTTCTGGGGGCATGGAAGTAAGAGAAAAGACAAATTAACTTGTTAAATCCTCACAGAAACTATGAAAACCATAGGTTCTTGTGCAAAATATATCATTTTCCAGTTGTTCCACGTATCCAGAGATACCCTCAAATTAAGTTGAGGTTTTATAAACATTTGTATGTGGTACGTAGAACTCGATTTGCACTCTTGACAAAAGGTAGGGAAGCCTGGCAGAAGGGGGATGCCTCGTATGGTCTCTTATGTTTTCTGACTGTGTTCATCCCAACAGAATGCCGACAACCAGTGAAAGACTGAAAAGACGCTAGAGGACGGCCAGCAATGAAATGAACGCATCCTGGTTCTTTGGGTGATTGCAAGGGACAGAGATCCCTGCCAACTGCACTGGTGTTAATGAGAACTCTTTATTGTGTGTCCAGGCATTGAGATTTGGGGGTTCATTTGCTATTGTAGACTACCCTAGCCTAGTCTATTTCAGTAGAAAACGTCTCACTATATAATGTTAAAATAAAAAGAATGTTTAAAAACTATAAATGACCCGAATTTTGTAAATCCCTCCTCTATTTCTCTCCCTGCCCAAATGTGTTTATACTTGTGAGAGATTGTTCTTTCTTTTTTTGTTTTTTTTTGTTTGTTTCCGGTACCAGGAATGGAACTCACGATGTCGTGCTTGCCAGGCAGGCGCTGTGCCACTGAGCTAAATCCCCAGCCCCCAAGATTGCTATTTCTTTACCTATGCATTCTCTTCTTCCTTTTGGTTACAGAGCCCCCTACTGTTATGGTTTGACTTATGCCCCCACCATATTACTATGTTGAAGTCCTAACTCATAAACCTGAGGATATGAACTTATTTGGTAATAGATCATTGCAATGAATTATAATTGATTAAAATAAAGTTATCAGGGTGGGTCCTAACCTAATGTGGCTAGTGTCTATACAAAGAGGAAATCTGGACACACACACACACACAATGGCAAGTAAAGGCGAAGGCAGCGATTGGGGTGATTCTTCTACAAACAGGGCCAAAGACTGCCAGAAGAGTGATAAGCACGGGTCAGGTTCTCCTTCAGCTCTCACAGCCCTCATGTGGAGCCTAGGGACACCTTGATCTTGGACTTCTAGCCTTCAGAACTGTGAAGTAATAAATGTTTGTGATATAAGTTGTTCAGTTTGTGGTATTTAGCAAAAATTAAGTTGACCCTTACCATTTTGGGACATACGGCCATTTGGCTAGAGGCTACATTTCAAGCTTCTCCTGGAGCTTGGCCTGGTTATTGTAGGACTAGGTTTTGTCCAGTGGAATATGGGCAGGTGTACATGTGCAACTTCTGCTCCTTGTCCTTGGTGGTTCATCTTCCAGGGCCTCTCTCTCTCTTTTCTTGTGAATTGTAAGGCAGAGAAGGCAATAATCCAACCTTGGCTATCCAGAGGAGCAAATATCTCAGTAGAGAGTGAGATGATAGTGCACAAGGAATTTATATCCCTGAATAATCTCATGGAGCACAACTGTCCTTGGGAGTAAGAGTGTAATAAGCTTTCATATGATTAAAGCCTGAGTTTAGAGTATCTGTGCTAAAATAGTTCTGTTTTTATTTAATTAATACACTACAATAATAACAGTAGCCACTAATACAGTTGGTAGTCACTGCACTATGGCCTGTTGGTGCTGTTGGTTACATTCCATGTGAAAGGAACCCATCAACTTGTACTGGGGTAGCCTGGGCTACCATGCTCCAGACACTCTCCCATGTGTTTTGTGTATTTACTTATTTAGTTGTCACAGTGATTCTCTGGAGCAGATACTATCATTATTCTCATCTTTAAATGAAGAAAATGGGGGCTGGGGATTTAGCTCAGCGGCAAAGCGCCTGCCTGGCAAGCGCAAGGTCGTGAGTTCGGTTCCCGGTACAGGAGAAAAACAAACAAACAAACAAAAAAAAAGATAAATGAAGAAAATGAGACCAGAGAGATAAATTTTCCTTCCAAAGGTAACCAGCTAGTAAATAAGTGAATTGGGGTTAGAACCTGGCTCTAGGATCTGAGCTTTTAACCATTCCTTTTTCCAGCTTTCCCAGACTGAATATAAAGACTGAAATATAAAGACAGACATATAAAGATGGAAAAAAATGTCCATAATATGACTAGTGGTTATGTTAACTAGGTGAAATTATGGGTACTTTGTATTTTTTCTTTATGCTTTTTTCTGTTTTATCCCTGTTCAGTAAGAAAGCATTATTTTATAAGGAAAAGGAATGCATTTACTGTACCACAGTTTTTAGAAGGACTTCTTTTTGTCTTCTCTTTGTGTTTGCATAACCCAAGGTCAAGCACATTTTCACTAAGGACCTCATCCAGCCATCCAGTTAGCTTGCTGAGAACTATGTATTATGTACTGTGGTATGCATTTGGGAGAGACATAGTTTAAAAAGACTGTGGTACTTTCAGAAAGCTTCCTGTCTAACTATGTTGGAATGGAAAAGAACTCCTCTCCTGGGTCCCAGTTATCACAAAATACAGCAGAGGTGGACTTCCATCCTTTTTCTCCCTTCCTTCCTACCTTCCTTCCTTCCTTCCTTCCTTCCTTCCTTCCTTCCTTCCTCCCTCCCTCCCTTCTTTCCCTTCTTTCCTTTGAGACATAAAGGAAAAATACAGGTACACATGGAAAAGAGACATGATCACAATCATGTGAAGACAATCTCCTGAGAAATCTTTAGTTCAGCTATGTTGAAGCTGAAATTCTGAGATTATAACATGCTGCAGGGAGGAAAGGAATGAATAACTAGTATCCCTCTCCTTGTCCACCTCCTCTCCTTTAAGTGAATGCATGCCAACCTCCCCATAATCCTTTTCTACGGCAGCCATATCCTCCCAGACCTCAGAAAACTCCCTTTCCTCTACCCCCTCACCCATGAGCCAGTGAACAAAGGTGTGCCTGGCATACATCAAGTCAGACTTGTGGTCCAGGTGAGCCCAAACCTCAGCAATGGCTGTTGTGTTACTCAGATGCACAAAGTTCCCAGTACTGTGGCCAGCTTTCCCCAGGTACCCCAGTGGAAGTATGGTAATTAATGCCAACCTTGAAGCCACTGAGGCACCAATCCACAAACTGGATGGTGTGCCTGGTCTTAATGATGGCAATATGAGCATTAACATCTTTGGGGACCACATCCTCATATAGTTGCCATGGTGAGGATAACGTTTCTCCATTTGGTTGGCTGGCTCAAAGAAAACGTTGGTGCTCACATAACCAGAGGGAAGTAGATGTGGGGATAGGGTACCAGGTTGGTCTGGAATTCTGTCTGATCAAGATTCAGAGTTCCATCAAATCTTAGGAAGTGGTGATACAAGACATAATTTGACTAGTAAGGCACTTAAGGTGAATGTAGATTGGACACTCAATATTGAGGTTTCTATGACATGCCTTCCATGTTGTCTACCATGAAGATACAACGGGTGGTGAGCCATGAAGGGTGGTATAAGTGGTGAGTATGGAATTGTAGGGTTTAACTACAGTGGCAGAAACATGGCAGTTGGGTAGATGGAGAACTCCAGCCTGGATTTCTTGCTGTAGTCAGAAAAATGATGTTCCATCAGCAGGAAGATAAGCCCAGGGTCAGTTTCCCCATCACAGCTGTGGAAAATCAAGAGGCCTTATAGACTTGTGACCACTCAGCCAGTTTACAAATTTGATCTAAGATAAGCTCAGTGACCTTCTTTCCAATATTGTAGTGCCCATGGGCAAAGTTACTGGTGGCATCTTCCTTGCCCACAATGAGCTGCTCACAGCTAGTGATTGGTGTTAGTGCAAACCTTATTAATGACCGTGGGTTCCAGGTCTCCTAACTCTGCCATGGGCACCTGCTTGCTGGCACCAGTATCACTGAAGAAGTTGATGAAGGAGTCATCTCCCTTAATTGTCTTGTCAGTCAGCATCTGTCCATCAAACCAGATGCTATGTTCCAGAAAGTAGAACTCCTAGTAGGCACTGCCAATCTGGACGGCAGCCTCACCAGTGTAGATGGAGATACACTCACACATGGTAGCTAAGGGTTGGGAGATGAAGCGGTTAGCGACAGACACTTGATCATGGTTATTGTCCCTGACAAGTTAAGAGTCAAGTTAAGTAATCCACACCAAAGGTAGTGTCTGTCTTCAACAGAGATTTAAGTGCAGAGGTGGGACTGCTTCTCAGTGCAAGAAGCAGTTTTTAGTGTTCTCAAAACATCACTGCTGTGTTTCTAGAAGGCACATATTTCCCTCCAACACGTTTTGTGGTATAAGGGATTGAATTTACATTGAGCTATATCCCCAGTCCTCTTTTAATATTTATTTTTTTTTTAAATTTTGAAACAGGATCTTGCTAAGTCACTAAGTTACCAAATCTGGTTTTAACTTGCAATCTTCTTGCCTTGGCCTCCCAGAGATCCAGGATTATAGATGTGCACCACCGAGCTTGGCGTTTTCCTCAGACTTTGAAGACCACCGAGCGTATAGGAGGGAATAGAGATGTGTAAGGAAGAAGCAGTGCTGGGTGGTGATGGGAAATGGAAGCATTCTCTGAGGAGGTATCATGGAATTTGACTGCTTGAATGAGAGAGAGACACAGACAGAGACAGAGAGACAGAGATTATCACCATTGTCACAGTCCGGTTCTAGCATCAGCTAGGAGTAAAGAAATGTCCCAGGAAAGAAAAAAAAGCCAAATGCCTACAGAATGTTTGGTAAACCTTTAGTAACATTTTTTTTTTTCTCTTCTAAGATCTTCTAGTAAGTCATTGATATCATTGCATTCTTCCATCTGCCACATAGTCACAGTTCTTTTATAATTCCTAAGAACTTGTTTGCTTTGAAAATTTCCTTAGAGAAGTGGTTTAATTTTTTGGCAGCAGTCTTTGAACAGGAGCAAGGAGCAATGACTGGGGTCACTTTTCCAGTTACTGAATTACCCACCGGGGGCTCTTCCAAATTCATGTTTACCCAGAGCTACAAAGTTTAGCTGTCATGGACAAGGCCATCTCAAAGAGTTGAACTCTTCTAAAGTGTGGCAGACTGCCCTAAATAAGATTTGCACACAGATTTCTTTCATTGCAGATGTGCGTGTTTTGGACTATTTCAAAAGTCCAGACTCAAATAGTCTCTGAAAAGAAGAACTTTTGCTGTCAAAGTGAATCAGCCAACATGTTGTGGGTCACCCATGGAAAGAAAGAAAGACACTGCGGGGAAGTGGGTGTCAGGTGTCAAGGCTGTGGCAGGGCGGAGACCAGGACAATCTGTGCTTTGAACAGAGTGATATGTAGAATTATTGGACCTCAAAGGACAAACTTATGAGTCATCAGTATGTTTTTTAAGTACATTTGAGGACAGGGACGGTCAAGGGCCTGTTAGTCTGTTTCTGTTGCTATATCAAAATAGCAGGCAGTGGGTAATTTATGAAGAATGGTAGTTTGTTTGGCTCAAGGGTCTGGAGGCTAAGAGCTGTAAGAGCACAGCGCCAGCATCTTCTCAGCAGATGGTGAGGGCCTTG